AGAAAACAAAAGAATAACAGAGCTGGCTGGGACTCCCTTGGCCTTTAGGAACCACCCATTGCTTTGTGGCAGGCGTCACTAAACCTAAACGCTCTCTGACAGATTTTAGCTAAATATGGAAAACAGAGAAGAAAATGAAGTGGGTAACAATGAAATCTTGGCTTTTGCATCTAATGCTCATATTTTTGGGGGGGTCGGGTGCCATATTTTTATTATTTTGACCTTATTGCACATATTGAATTATTACTTTTAAACAGAGTCTGTGTCCTATGCTTACTCAGGGTTTGGAAGAAGACTACCTTTTCCGTGCTGAAAGAAAAGGCAGAATGTGAGAAAACCCCTCAACAAAACTCTGTCAGTGTGTTTTGTGTGTGCCTGTGAGGGCCATAATGTGTGCCAAAAGGAAGGAAGGGGGACCCAGAAAAAAGTTGTTTACTTATTTATTTTGAATTCTTATGGTCCGCCCTTCATCCTAAAATCCCATGGCGAGTTACAACAACAGCTGCACAAAACTATAAAAAATTATGACAATAAAATAACAGTTCTCATAAAAAAAGAAACAGCCTGTCAGTTCCTGGGATCTAGGCATCCCACAGCATTAAAAGGCTTGCCAAAAGAGTTTTCATCTGGTCTTCAGCTGGCACGTGTAGCTGGCTATGTTCATGCCAGTCAAACCTCAAGGTGATGTCATGGGACAGTTATGCTTCCACTGTAACATGCTCCCTGAAAACCCAAACCCAAATTCTGGAAAGGAAAGATCCATTTGGATTGATCACAGTGAAGGAGCTTCAAAACCAGGCTCAATGTTCTCAAATGGGGTGGGGAATCTGTGGTCCTCTAGACTCCAACTCCCATCATCCATGATCATTAGCCGTGCTGACTGAGGTTCATGGAAGTTGCATCATTAACAATATCTTCTGGAGGGCCTCCCTTCTGTGTCCAGGGCAGCTGTTTACCAGCTCCATCTGGTACGCAGGCTCAGACCCTACCTGCCAGCGGACTGTCTCGCCAGAGTGAGCATGCTCTAGTTATCTCTCGCTTGGACTACTGCAATGTGCTCTATGTGGGGCTACCTTTGAAGGTGACCCAGAAACTACAACTAATCCAGAATGCGGCAGCTAGACTGGTGACTGGGAGCAGCCGCCAAGACCACAGAACACTGGTCTTGAAAGACCTACATTGGCTCCCGGTACGTTTCCGAACACAATTCAAAGTGTTGGTGCTGACCTTTAAAGCCCTAAATGGCCTCCGTTCAGTATATCTGAAGGAGCGTCTCCACCCCCATCGTTCAGCCCAGACACTGAGGTCCAGCACCTAGGGCCTTCTGGAGGTTCCCTCGCTGCAAGAAGCCAAGTTACAGGGAACCAGGCAGAGGGCCTTCTTGGTAGTGGCACCTGCCCTGTGGAACACTCTCCCACCAGATGTCAAAAGAAAAACAACTTCCAGACTTTTAGAAGACATCTGAAGGCAGCCCTGTTTAGGGAAGCTTTTAATGTTTGGTGGACTATTGTATTTTAATATTTTGTTGGAAGCCATCCAGAATGGCTGGGGAGACCCAGCCAGATGGGTGGGGTATAAAAATAAATATATTATTATTATTATTATTATTATTATTATTATTATTACCCTAAACTGCTTTCATCTTTGCCTTAGGAGAATTGTGAACTATGATTTTAAAACCAAGAGACCCCAAGAATGATCTGAAGGCACTTCATGCAACTCTGCAGCTGAAGCTAACACCATCTGGCTCTGTATACTGCCTGGATGGGCTATATCATGGGTAGGCACACTAAGGCCCAGGGGCCGGATCAGGCCTAATCGCCTTCTAAATCCAGCCCGCGGACGGTCTGGGAATCAGCATGTTTTTACATAAGTAGAATGTGTGCTTATATTTAAAATGCATTTCTGGGTTATTTGTGGGGCATAGGAATTCATTCTTTTTTTTCTCTTCAAAATATAGTCCGGCCCCCACAAGGTCTGAGGGAGAGTGGACCGGCCCTCTGCTGAAAAGGTTTGCTGACCTCTGGGCTATATGAACCATATGCATGCTTCCTTTCCACAGAAGGCTCTGAAGACTACAATTAAAACACTATTAATGAATTCATTGCACTTAGGTCTGGCTTTCAGCTCCTTGGGGAAACAGCAGGAGAAAAGTCAGTGCAACTAGCAAATAAAAATTTCCTTAGAACTATGGTGTGACTTCCTTTCTTCTTTTGCTGACATTCTATTTAACTTTGTATTCTAGGAGCAGGAAGAATCTCACAAGTACATTGTGGTCGACAGAATTTCCAGTGTATGAAAAGGTCTCCTTTGTGTTGTCAACAGATATAACAGGAGCTTGGATTTCAGAACTCAATTAAGTTTTCTTTGTCACCCTTGAACAAATATGGAGGTAGAGCCAATTAGACAATACAACAGAGCATTATGAAAGAGACTAAGAGAACAAGCAAATTGTTTCATTTAGGACTGAACAGGGATGAGACAGAACGTCTCTTTAACGAATTCTTGGTGCTTTAGGAGCTTTTTGGAGCTAACAGAGATGAGGAATGCATGGCGTGGAAAATTGTCTCCTGGAGGATGTCTCTGTGTGGTCTCTTGTTTTGGATAGAGAGTGAGCAAAGGTAAACCTTTTGTGATCATCGGTATTTATGCATAAAGGATAGCATTGTGCTGAAAATCAAACCCTGCATTTAAGCTGGGAAGCGTATCAAGATTTTTTCCTCAAGCTGGCAACACAAAAACCTGAATAGTTCTGCACCAATTAGCCCAAATGACTTTCAGATTAATCAGAAATGAGAAGCAGAACACTAAATATCAGAACTGGACAGGGAAGAGGTGAGATAGTAGGGTGGGTAGAGGATGGGATGTTGACGAGAAATGATAGATATAGAAGAAGAGTTTGGATTTGATATCCCGCTTTATCACTGCCCAAAGGAGTCTCAAAGTGGCTAATATTCTCCTTTCCCTTCCTCCCCCACAACAAACACTCTGTGAGGTGAGTGAGGCTGAGAGACTTCAAAGAAGTGTGACTAGCCCAAGGTCACCCAGCAGCTGCATGTGGAGGAGCGGAGACGCGAACCCAGTTCACCAGATTGCAAGTCTACTGCTCTTAACCACTACACCACACTGGCTCTCTAGTGCTGTTTCAATCCCTTTCACTGATCTGAAAATAGTTCAGCACAGAAACCATTTAAGATGCAGTAGTCATATCATTTAATCTGCTTTCACTCTAGTGCAGGCTTCCTCAACCTCAGCCATCCAGCTGTTTTTGGCCTACAACTCCCATGATCCCAGCTAGCAGGACCAGTGGTCAGGGATGATGGGAATTGTTGTCTCAAAACATCTGGAGGGCCAAGGTTGAGGAGGCCTGCTCTAGTGCCTTTCTATAGAATTACTATTCTTCATTCACTCATATTTTATGGAGAATTTTTGCTGTTGCCAAATTGTTGCAGTCCAGTGTTTTCTGTGTTGTCTTCTGATATTTTTCCTCACAACCACTATGAGGTGATTTCCCCCCCACCCCAGCAATAAAACATAACTGGAGCACTAATCTATCCAGTGTGGTTGGTCAAAGCACTAACAAGGCTTTTCAGCACTCTTGTGTCTTTAATTAATTAATTAATTAATTAATTAATTAATTAAATTGATTGGTCTCCTTGTTTTATTGCTTCTTGTTGATTCCAATTATGGGATCAGTCATGAACAACTACTTTTAATCACCCAAATGCCAGTTTTTGTTTCCACAATGATGGAAGTCTCTGATCACTGATTTCTTCTTATGTTTTTCTTCTCATTTTCATAGAGAAATAATAAAAAATAGTAGTACAAGAAAATCATTCATTAAGAGGCTATTAATTACTAATTTCCAGGCCCTGGTGAACAGCAGGCTATTAATCATTCAGGATCTGCAAACACGACACTTTTAATGAACATTTCATTGGACCTTTCCAACAGTGCAATATCCTAGACATGTCTTCTCAGATGGAAGTCCGACTGACATCTTCTTATAAGTAAACTTTATGGGAAAATTTTGACCAGGGAGGAAGGCATTTCTGGATGATATAGTGCCATAGTGACTATATGTTGAAACTGTATTCTATTTCTACAAGTTCCAGCTAATTACAGAAAAGCAATACCTCAACAACATTAAAGGGCTGCAGTGTATTACAGCTGCTGACTGAAGTCACTGGAACTGGTGTACAAGCACTGAATCCCATCCAACGACATGCTCTTCAACACCAGCCATTAGAGTGTATAGTGTTAATATCTTCTCAGTCTAATCACACTATCCCATCCCACACCACAGCCTGTAGAACTACTTTGCCACATGTTCTCTGGTATGTGATTTTAAAGAAATGTGTGGCAAGTTCTACTCATCACTCGGCAGGTTTGTACAGACGGACAAGATTATCTGGAGTGTGAATACTCTTATATGAAAAACATGGCAGCAGCTTGGTAAATTTGGACTGTATGGGTTCAGTGCTTTTGGTAGATCATACTCAGGATGTGTATACTCAGGATCAGCAAATATTTGAAGGACCTCAACGGTCCTTACAGTGTCCATATACACTAACAGCAATCTCGGCTCTCTGAGAGCTGGTCCTTATGCAGCCAAAACAGTACCAGTGATGCCTGAAATGGAAGAATCAGCAGGATTGGGGTAGCCCTGAGCAAGGTTGTTGAAGAGAAATTATAGCTATGGTTCTGTTTTAAACACTTCCACTGATATGCAAGTAGTTCAACACACAAACCATTTAAGATGCAGTACTCATGCTCAATGGTCATGAAATATTGGCTGATTTCTTTTTTGGAGGGGCAAGAGGTTGAAAACTTGGGGGATGAAGAATGGAACAGAATGCCCCAAGAGGAGCACTCAGCACTGCAACATTTCATGATAGGTTCCATTTCTTTTTAAATGAAGACACATTAAGGAGTGTGCTTAAAGCATCAATTCATAACAGGCTTTGTTATGCCCACAGAAAGAGAAAGAGATTTATTACCTTTGCAGTTGCCCTTGTGGGAGATTTCTAGTTGAGGATCTTTGCATTTCGCCCGTTGGAATTCACACCGGGACAGGAAAGTCCTGCCATCTGAGGCGCACAGCGACTTTTGGGGGGACCCCGTGCATTCCAGGCTGCATTCTTTGTCCTTGTCTTGCTCCACTCTTAAAAACTTTAACAAAACAAAGTGGTGTAAGAGGCTGAAATCTGATCGAGCATTAAAACTCTCCAATAATATTTGGCCTGTCATGCAGCCATCTGATCTCTACCTCACCACCCCCACTCCCCCCAAAACACAAATCCTGGTTGTGAATTTATTTTTCAAGGAGAGAAAACAGCAAATTAGCACTGCACAATGGTGAGCCTGGTGAGAATCCCAGCACCAGCTGGACTGCTCTGAGTTAGGGGTTCAGGAACACAGAACCATGGCCTTTCTTCCCCAGTCTAGTCATAGGGCAGACGGGTATCTCTGCAAGTCCTGCCTCTCTGCAGAAGTGATGCAGGTGAAACAGCCCTCTGGAGTTGCTTTCCTACTTAGATAAGACTGCTATGTCACAATTCTATTTCAGCTTTTAGATCATGATCCTCTTGACATAGATTAGTTTCCTTTTCATTATGTGCAGTGCCTGGTACCCTTTTAAGTATTTTACAGACACATTAATAATGACAATGAACTGGAGCATAGGAATTTCTGAAGTTATGAATTGACGCCAGTGCAGAAATACTCTTGAGGGACTGGCATAAAATCAGGAGACTTAATCATTGCCATCTATGGCAAATAGTCACCAGATTTTTGTTAAATGTGAGTGTTTTCCAAAGTAAGCATACGGAGTCTGTGAATTATATCTAACTCCCTGTGTGCATTTTTTTAAATAAAAAAAATATGCATCTGTAATAAATCCACTTAATTTTTGAGCTTCAACTGTGCTCTCCTTGCATTTCATCACACTTTATTATAAGCAAATATAAAAGCCTTACAGTAAGACATGATAATTATAATTTTCTGTAAACGGTGCAACAAAAATCACAGAATTCATTATAGACACAATATTCATATCCTTGGAATCCTAGCACAAGTTAAAAAATATAAAGGAACAGTAACAAACAATAAGAACATTCTTTTTTGACACTCCCTACTTTGTTTAGCACTTTTTGAACACCACCGTGGATTGTCTGAGGTTTAACTTCAAGTTGAATACAGTACTGGGCAAATAGGGATGGAGTGATAGCTCATTGTAGGGGTGTTCAACTTTGTAAGCATCCCCAGTTAAAGTGTTGCAGCACCTAGAGCACACATACCCTTCCTCAATATTGCTGGCATATTACAGCCCAGGTGTGACCCTTCAGGTAGAGAAGATGTCTCCACTGGTTTGCATAGGGGGTGACTTGAAGGACAATTCATGGTGGGAAATATTATTGAGATGCTGGTCACAAAGGAAGAAAGAAATCACCCATCCACAGATGAAACCTGGTGCATAAAGATTCACGAAGGGGATAATTTTTCAATCCATTATGTTGTCCCATAAGCTGTCCTTTAGTTTGGGGGAGGAAACAATTCTATTTGGGGAGAGGGGGACAATCATTTTGAGTGCTTACAAAAGACTTCCATGTTTTGCCAGTGCATGATGGGAACGGAATGCTCACCAAAAGCAAAACAAAACCCAACATCCACCTGCCAAACTCCAGTATCTTTGAGCTGAACTTCATTCAGAGGTCTTCTTCTCTTTAGCAACATCACAGCCTTCAATTGTATTTTCACCTTTGTTGTGGGTCCCTCTCTTCTTCATAGCACTTATAAAGTGATAGAAGTCAATATGGATGTTCTTGGGGGAAATGGCAATGCAAAAACTCATGATAAAAGGTGGTCATTTCAGAAATGAACCTAGATGTGCCTAACACATAAAAACAGTTTTGAGAACAGCCGGACATAATACTGGGCCAAATCCGAAAAGCACACTCATTTCTATTCCCAGATCATGTTTTTATTACTATTATTACTATTACTACTACTACTACTACTACTACTACTACTACTACTATTTTGAATTATGGTGCTGGAGGAGACTCTTGAGAGTCCCATGGATTGCAAGAAGATCAAACATATCCATTCTTAAGGAAATCAGCCCTGAGTGCTCACTGGAAGGACAGATCGTGAAGCTGAGGCTCCAATACTTTGGCCACCTCATGAGAAGAGAAGACTCCCTGGAAAAGACCCTGATGCTGGGAAAGATGGAGGGCACAAGGAGAAGGGGATGACAGAGGACGAGATGGTTGGACAGTGTTCTCGAAGCTACAAACATGAGTTTGACCAAGCTGCGGGAGGCTATGGAAGACAGGAGTGCCTGGCGTGCTCTGGTCCATGGGGTCACAAAGAGTTGGACATGACTAAACGACTAAACAACAACAACTATTCACCACCACCACCTTTTATCTCACTTTCTATTAACCTCCAGCACCTCCTCTAGACCTTTTCCCTGAGAGGAGGGAGACCTTCTTTTCACACTTCTCTGTTTTCCACCCACCTGTACTCAGCATGCAAGGAGATGCTGGGGCTGGCATTGGGCCAACCAAAAGGCTACTGCCCAGCTGGAAGGCACAACAGGTAAGTGGGGATGAAATGGGCAGGCTGTGGCACTGAGGCCCACCAGAGAAGGAACAGTGACCTAGAAGTTAACCTTCCATACACTATCATGGTGGAACTGGTGACTTCATATCTGACTACCAGAAAATAATTGTTTGCAACCAAGTCCAGGCACAATTTGTTATGATTTATTTGTAACAATAAAATACACACAGTCCCTGGTTTCATCAAAGTATTTCATAGGAAGAAGAAAATTGCTGTAAAGGGGATTAGAAACCTGATCAGACTTATTTAGAGTGAAAATCTCTTTGTCATTAATTTCAGTGCTGGCTCCATCCCCTGCTTCCTTTCAAAGCCAACGCTTCCTGGTTATGATCCTGTTCCAGACATGTACTAATGATTTGGTTACAAAATATTTTGGTGCCTGCATGAAAACATCTAAACTCCAGACATAGCCTGCCTGCAACCTAGTGTGACTCAACAATATTTTGCAAAAACAAATAATCTCTACTCCAGTACTGTTCAGCCCCGTTCTCCAAGTTAAACATTTAGTGCAGAGCTGACATTAAGATTTACAAACTGGACCCAAGCTAATGGAACTGGCTTGGGGCAATTTCAAGAAGTCTGCAAGCAGTGCCTGCTCCTTGATACACACCTGACCAGCTACTCCATTGACCCTACGCTTTCATTCTCAGTCCAAAATAGCTAAAAACAACAAGAAGCACACACCATATAATTACAATACCAATTATATCACCATCATTTCATACAGTGAATGTTTATTGAAAAATGAGTTTTCGTTTGTCTATTGGCAAGTTGTTATGAAGGCTTCTGACCCCACAATCCAGATGTGCCAAATGAAAAATGATACATTAATTAATCACTTTTAAAAAATAATTTGTTAATCTGCTTCCAGAGTTCCACCAACTTCATATGAAGAGGTGAGGATCTGGGAGCCATTATATATGCCTTTAAATCCTCTCCATGTGCGGTTGCCTTCTGAAGATTGTTCCAGAGTTTCATCTGATAGAGGAATACATTATCCCAATGCACCAAGGTCTGCACTAGCTTTCTGTTCCCTTCCAGTACTGTAATTACAATTCAAGGTGTGGGATTGTTATTTGTTATTGTTATAGCGAATTTCTAACCTCTTGTGAACATTTGGTCAAAATGAGAATAGATATAGTCAAAACAAAAATTAAAAAACCCCAAATGGCACACAAGTCAACAATTGTGATTTTGTTCTAGAATGCTCTCTGCACACCTTTACTCTAATTTCTGAAGAGACCTTACAGGCATAGGGTGGCCACTAACACATTGTCCAAAAAGAGGAACTGTGCCGCAAAAAAGAGGTTGCAGATTTGCATTCAGTTTTCACATCCTGATTTGCACGTGAACATTTAGAAATAATTACTATCCTATAAACAGAAATACAGTACATCTCAGCAAAATGGGGAAGACTGTGACCAGGTAACAGGTGCTAACTGCTGATCAGGAGCAGCCAGCATAGCGGTGTGGTACAGTAGAGATGTCCTTCTAACAGTGGTGTCACAGCTTCTTGCCAGGACGGAGCAGGGTGACAGCTTGGTTGTGGCTGTGTGTGTGTACTGGCAGAGCCAGTATGACACTCCTGAAAGTGCACCCACACAACCCTGACCTTGCCGCTTACCTGCTCCATCTCCATCTCATCCCAGTAAGTATCCATGAAACTAGTGTTGGGAAGATTGCTCCATGGCACTGCCCCACTACGCCAGTCACTTGTTAATGATGGGCAACTCTTCTTTCTCAAGGTCCTTACCTTTAAACAAGACTAAACCACTGAGCCTCTGGGGATTGCCGATCAGAAGGTCACCGGTTCGAATCCCTGTGACGGGTGAGCTCCCGTTGCTCTGTCCCAGTTCCTTCCAATCTAGCAGTTCGAAAGCACGTCAAGTATAAGTAGATAAATAGGTACTGGTCTGGCGGGAAGGTAAACAGTGTTTCTATGCGCTGCTCTGGTTTCTTACTTATGCTGGCCACCTGACCCAGAAAAACTGTCTGCGGACAAGTGCCGGCTCCCTCGGCCTTTAAAGCGAGATGAGTGCCGCAACCCTAGAGTCGTCTGCGACTGGACTTAGCTGTCAGGGGTCCTTTACCTTTTTTAGACTACACAGTCCTTTAAATAGAGGACTGTCCTCTGCAATGTAGAGGCACTACAAATGCCTTTCCTGAAGGCAGTTCCAAGGGAAGGGGAAGGGAATATTATTTCTGACAAATTTTCTCCACACACACTCGAACCACAAGGAAGATTTGATTTGGGTGGCGGAGCAGGAGCCAATGAAGACCACCGAAACTTTCCCCAACTAAATGTAGCTTTTGGATGGGAAGGGGCAGCATTCCTAGAGGCCATGATTGCTTTGAGGAAACAAAAAACAAGGAAAGGTTTGGAAAAGCTGGCGTCACCCTTTCTCCTGCTCTGCCTGAGGTGATAGCCTCAGTGACAGGGAAAGGTGGGGAAAGGTCTGAACCCCTCTTCCTCTCCAGCCCATCAATCTTGACAAGCCCCTAGTTACCTTTAGAAAAGTGGCCCTTCTGCTTCTATTTACAGACAT